ATGAAGCGGACATAGCGAGAAAATGTCAGGGACATGAAGGAAGGGTTGAACGGCATGGAAGGGACAGGACCAGGACATCATGGGAAACGCGAAAAGGACATGAAGGGGAAATGAAGGGGAAAGCCAGTAGTGAGATGAAAGTTCCGGGTCATGCAGGGGTAGTGCCCGGAACTCAGGGGGCAACGTGACGCTGCAATGCAGAGAGAGAGAGAGAGAGAGAGAGAGAGAGAGAGAGAGAGAGAGACAGGGAGAGAGCGGGAGAGAGAGAGGGAGAGAGAGAGAGAGAGAGAGAGAGAGAGAGAGAGAGAGAGAGAGAGAGAGAGAGAGAGAGAGAGAGAGAGAGAGAGAGAGAGAGAGTGAGAGAGAGAGAGAGAGAGAGCGAGACACAGAGAGTGAGCCAGAGACAGCGCCAGAATCAGAGAAACAGAGAAAGAGACAGACAGAGAGAGCGACAGCGAGAGAGAGAAAGACAGAGACTGAGAAAGAGAGACACAGAAAGACAGAGAGAGAGAGAGAGAAAGAGCGAGAAGGTGAGAGAGTAGAGAGGTTCGAATTAGGGTACCCTTTTTCTGTAGAGGGGCGTGGACAGGAAGGAGACAGGGAGACAGAAAGAGACAGAGAAACAGAGACAGCAAGAGAGAGAGAGAGAGAGAGAGAGAGAGAGAGAGAGAGAGAGAGAGAGAGAGAGACACAAACAGAGGGAGATTGAGGAGAGAGAGGCTTGAGGGGATGGGGAGGATGGGGAGCAGAGGGAGGGAGAGAGGACGACAGAACGCGCGAGGGAGACAAGGGAGAGAGTAAGAAGGAGAAAAGGGAGAGGACAATGTCGGCGGACTGAGCCGGAGGCTCTAAAAAAATACTGATTTTACAGCTATTTTTTCTAATTCAATAGAAATAATAAAAACATTAAGAAGATGAGAAAAATAGGAAAAATAGGTCCCAACTCCTCCAAATAATTAGGCAAAAAAATAACATGACTGATTTTCCAGCCAATTTGTCTCATTAATTAGAAAAAATAAAAACAAAAGCAACAAAAAATGGAATAAAATGACTGATTTGCCAGCCATTTTTCTCATTCATTGAACAAAATATAAGAATTAGAAAAACATGATTGATATTCCTGCTATTTTTAAATTCCGGCTGGACCCGGACACTTTGAAGCGCAAATGAAAAGGAACTGGAAAGGAAATATGGAAAGGAAACAGAAAGGAAATATAAAACGAAAGGAAATGGAAAGAAAATGGAAAGGACGTGGAAAGGACATTTAGAGGAAATGGAAAAGAAATGAAAGGAATCGGAAGGAAATGGAAAGGAAACGGGAGCGAAATGTAGGGGGAATCGAAAGGAAATGGAAAGGAAATGGACATGGATTGGACATAGAAAGGAATGGAAAGGAAATGGAAAGGGGCAGGCTCCGTAATTGGTTTCATACAAACTTTATCAGCAGTGAGCCTAGAACCGCCAAGCACAAACGTGCCCTTTCCTTTCCATGTCCTTTCCATTATCTTTCCATTTCCTTTTCAAACATCCATTTCCTTCCAATTTCCTTTCTATTTCCTCCATTTCCTTTCAATGTCCCTTTAATGTCCTTTCCATTTCCTTTCCATTTGTTTTCCTTTTCTATTTCCTCTCCAGTTCCTTTCTCTTTCCTTTTCATTTGGGCTTCAACGTGCCTGGAATCCAGCCGAGGCAGGCTCGGTAATGGATTCTATACAAAACTGTATCGGCAGTGAGCCCCAACTTGCCAAGCACAAACGGTCCCTTTCCTGTCCATGTCTTGTTACAGTAGTTGTTGTTTGCTTTTGTGTTGTTGATTGCTTTTGTTGGTTGTTGATTGTTGTTGTGAGTTGTTGATTGTTTTTGTGAGTTGTTGATTGTTTTTGTTAGTTGTTGATTGTTTTTGTTTGTTGTTCATTGTTTTTCTTGTTGTTGATTCATCGCCCTCTTCTGAGCGTCCCATGATGAACATAGAAAAACATGATGGGTTTTCTAGCTATTGTATCCAACTGATACAACCATTAGAAAACAATGACTGATTTGTCAACTAGTTTCTCATTAATTGGAAAATGGCAGATTGTCCAGCTATTGTTTCTATCTAGTATGCTGATTAATTGTGAGATCAGTATACAGCTACTGGCAGGATCAACCAGGTTAGGAATAGAAAGGACATAAAAGGACATGAAAGCAATGACAAAGAAACGGAAAGAAACGGATCGGACAAGAAAGGAATTAAATGGACTAAAAGTAGAAATAAAATGGAATGGAAATGGAAAGGACTGAAAAGTAGGGAAAACAAACTCACCCCTTCAACCTCTGTTCGGGGAGATTTACACAAAAAAAGCAACTTTTCCGGCTTGGTTGGCCTTGATCACTTCATTAGAGAGGAGCGAAAAGGAATGGAAAGACATGGAAACACAAAAAAGGAAAGAAAATGGAAAGAAGTGGAAACAAAATTGGAAAGGACATGGATAGGAAAAGAACTAGACAGAAATACACGAAATAGAAAGAAAGAAATGGATTTGAAATGGAATGGACATGGAACACACATGCAAAGGAGTGAAAGGAACATGGAAAGGGACGGGAAGATATAGGTATATTTTTTGAGGAAATGGACATGAAACTCGCCCTGACCAAATTCTTTGCACGGGAAATTGCGAAACGAGCACGTGTTTGGCCCGGGCTGGCCTTCGGCACTTCTAGCTAAGAATAGAAAGGAAAGAAATGAAGTTAAAATGGAATTGACATGGAATGACAGGGAGGGAAAGGAAACTCGCCTCTTCAGAACTCTTTCGAAAGAAATTGCAAAATGAGCAGTTCCTTTCTTCCTCCGCTTTTACCCAGGATATAGGTAAGAGATCCCAAGAGCTGATATCAAAACAAGCTATCCATCGCTTCGCTAGCTGCCACAACCTTACGACTGAGGAAGAAGTAAATCCTAACGTATAAATATTGTGTCTCTGTATCTGTCCTTCTCATAATCCTTCTCATGCCAACAAAAATAATTAAGATTTGGAGAAGGAAGGACAGATAGGTGACTAGGAGATCCTCTATACAAGCCTTATAAATGCGAACGAAGATATCCAAAAGTAGATTTAATATGCTGTAGATCCCGGTCTTAAGCCGCTGTGTAGGGGGGGGCATCTTCCAGAATATCACACACATTGGTTTACAGTTACAAGTATTATCTATTTGATTTACTAGCTGTATTTTGTCTCGCCATGAATATCACATATTTATTATTTACTTGTTTCATCGCTGTGTCTTGTTTATAGGAACTCTGTTCCTTAAGATCTTAGTGCTAGGACTGTATATAAGCGCTTCAAAGATGGGAGATGCATCCAAAAGCGTTCATTCTCTGTCTTTTTCCTGTCCTTTTACTGGTATGCGTCTTGGAAATTCCAGAGTCATAACTGTTGCAGCTAAACAAAAGCAAGATAACATTAATCATATGAACGAAGGGACATCTCCTTACCTTGCAACCCCTCTTTCCCTTAGTAATCACGGCGGTGAGATAGGAATGAGTTAGGATAGGATAATATTGGGACATGGGCTAGACCTTACCTTTCATGCCATTTGGCCCGGGCTGGCCTTGGGCACTTTTCCATCTCCGTTTCTTGTCTATTCCATTTCTCTATTTGTTTCCATTTCCTTTTCAACGACCTTCCTCCCTTCTGTTTCCTTTCCATTCCCGTTTACTTATATATATATATATGTTTAAAAAAGAAAAAAAGAAAAACACATGATCGGTTCCATTCCTTTGTGTTTCTATGTTCTTTGCACTTTCTTGCTATTTCTTTCCATTTCTTTGCTTCTCTTTCCCTTTATTTCTATTCCTTTCCACTCCTTTCCACTCCTTTCCATTCCCCTTCATTCTTAGCTAGAAGAAGTGCCCAGGGCCAGCCCGGGCCGAAAAAGTGCTCGTTTCGCAATTGTCAATGTCAATAATGGTGAAGCAGCAGGTGTCAATTTCATTTCTTTGAAATTCCTTTTCATGTCCTTTGCGTTCCTTCCATATCCGGCTCAATCCTGTCCATCTTTCTTTCCACTCATTTTCATTCCTTTCCATTTCTAGCTAGAAGTGCCCAAGACCAGCCCGGGCCGAAAAAGTGCTCCTTTCGCAATTGTCCATGTCAATAATTTTGAAGCGGCGTGGTTCCTTTCCATTTCTTTAAGATTCAGTTTCATGTCCTTTCCGTTCCATATTTGTTTCATTCATTTCCATATTTATTTTCATTAAACTGATATTCTATTCCTTTGCTTATATTTCCTTCCTATTTCCTCTCCTGTCCATTTCTGTGACTTTCTCTCTGTGTCTTGTCCATTCCTGTCCATTCCTGTCCATTCCTGTCCATCCCTTCCTTTGCTTTTCATTGCTTTCCATTGCTTTCCATTGCTTTCCATTCCTAGCTAGAAGTGCCCAAGGCCAGGCCGGGCCGAGAAAGTGCTCGTTTCACAATGTCCACTCCTTTCTTTTTCACGTCCTTTCCATTTCTTTCCAATTCCTTGTCATGCCTTGTTTCCATTGCTATTTCTTGTTGTTACATTTGCAATTGTGCTTCCATTAGCTTTCATGTGTTCCAAATATTGTTTGTTCCATGACGTTTCTATTTCGTGACTATGTCCTTTTCATTTCGCTCCATTCCATGTCGGTTATTCTTTTCTACTAGATTGATTTTGTTACAAAGCGTGATGCTACGCCACTGATGTATCTCGTAAATTAGGAAATGTTAACTATCATAAGCAACGGAAAAAATAAAACATGGAGATGTACACTTCTTGCATCGAAACAAAACAGAGGATGCGTTTGTGCTTCATTCACTAAATTGATCTCTTTCATTTAAAGAGATCTCGTTTCTTACACGCCACGCACGCGCGCGCCACATTTGGTGCAATCTTCCCAACCGGCCACCCCCAACCCCCCCCCCCCCTCACCCCCAACCCCCCCCCCCAAAAACCCTCCCCACAACCCCCACCCACCACCCCCCATCCCACTCCACGTCCTGCGCCGGGTCCGGCCGCGGCGCGGCCCTGCGCCGCCGCCGCGGCCGCGGGCGCGGTCGCGGCGGCCTCGCGCTCCGACAGCCTGGTGCCGTGAGCCGACAGTTGGGTGGGGAAATTTGGCTCAAAACATACGGAATCATAGGTGTCCTTTTGGGGCCAGATGGGTTTCCCTGGTAGATGGTTCAACCAGGTAAACCAGGAATCGCCCTCTATGTTTCGAACAACCAAAAGGGACACCTATGTACGGAATCCTCAAAGGTCGAAACAATTTTGGCAAACAGGTATTTGGTGGGTTTATTTGGCATGGTTGGAAAAGACTGGAACTCCAGAAAGGTCTTGAATTTTGAGCACCCGTGGGAAACGAATGCAAATCCACCATGGTTCAGGTCATCCTTTCCTGTTTTGACACACACCGTCACACACCCTTCATCTTTTCACTCTGGCTTTTCAAATAGGCCACCACCTCAAAAGTGACATATGAATCCAATAAATGGTGTCCACCAAAGGGTCCCATTAAAACTCAGACCCAAATGAGCCCAGTTCATTCTCCCCAGTGTCCCCTTCCGAGCCTATCCGGCCGCTCGGGTTGCCCCCGGAGGGGGCAGAGATAGCTTGTGGGCGAAGGTGGGAAATGCAAAGGGTGGGCAGCTTTTCCGTGAGACTCCGGAATTTGGATCGGAGCGCGTCCTACTTCTTGTTTCCCAAGGTCCATGTGAAGTCTGCAGCCAACGGCTTCCTGCCATGCACAAGGGGGGGGGGTAGGGCAGGGCCCCGTTCGTGGATGCCAATTCTACAAACAATCAGCAAGCGAAACTTCATCACGGCTGAGGTTGATAATTTAGATGTTATTCTCTAAGTGCCTCCCAAAATTGGACATGGACCCTCCAAATTGTGGGCTTACCTTCACGCATCCCTTCAAAGCCATCCAAAAACAAGAGACCTCTAGATTTCGGATACTATCAGCTGCCGGATTGCAGATGTCCGGTTCCAAGTCACGCAGTCAAACCTTGAATTTGAACTTGGCAAATATGACAAAGCATGGCACGGCACGGCTTCAGAAGCGTCGCTGCCCAACCCTGTCTGGCTGACGCCTGCGCTGGAGCATAATGGCCAGCAGGCCGCCGATGACGAGACCTGGCGGTTTGGAATTGGCTTGGAAGATTGAAGCTCCTGCTTCTCTCAGAAACAAATATCACTGTGGGTCAAAAACAGGTACCCAAAATGGAACCCTGATAAATGGAACCAAAGACTAAAACCTGCGGTCCCCTGGTGGCTTAATTTGACCCACACCCCTATACACAAATGGCACGGGAAAATACTTCTTAGCGCCCAAACCTCGAAACCGACCCAAGGGTCCGCAAAAAATAACATGGGGCACCATCCCATCAAACGAAGCTGGCAAAAAGTGCCGAGGCTCATGCGGAATGGCGCTGGCTTCCAAGATGCTCCTTCTGCAAGCCACGTCCAAGTGATTTACAGGGCAAGCACTGTAGAAGAAATCGCTGTATAAGAAATTGAGAGGCTGAGATTGCACATTTGCTGCTGAGAAATTGAGCCCCCTGGATTGTTTGTCCAATTTCTTAGTTTTTGCGGCCTTTTCGGGTGATGAAGGACTCCCCCTGCCAAGACATTCAGCGGCTCAATTTCTTAGCAGCGTTTTTGGTTTCGGGTGAGCTAAGAAGTTCAGGGGCTCAGTTTCTTAGCGGCCTTTTCCGAGCTATATTTCTTAAGCAACTCAGGCGCCAAAATTTATTAGGGGGCCCCAGTGCAGCCACAGGCAGGCCCTGATTTCTTAGCAGAGGAGTCCTTCATCCCCGGCTAAGAAATTTATCCCCTGAAATTCTTAGCAAACAAGGTTTAGAAATTGCCAGCCCCTTTGTCTCCAGAGGGCACAAACCAGCCCTTTGGACGCCAAGACATTCAGCCCCCTGGGCCTCGACCAGCCGATTCCTTATACAGCGCTCGCAGTGTAATTTGCGGCTCGGCTTCCTTAACAATCATCTTTTCAAGGGTGCCTCTCGCATTCATGATGACCTCAAACGTGAAGCATCTATGCATCAAATGTGATCTCCGTGTCAAAATCAGCCTCCCAGTGGCTTGTGCGTTGGCCAATTCACCCCCTTTCTGCCTTTGCACCTTTTGGTCAAAGGGAAGGAATGGGTTGAGGGGGTGCCAGGTCAATGCTGGTTGCCCGACTGGCAAAGCTCGCGAAACAGAGATCCAGAAGAAATCCAGTCACGATGAGCATTCTGCCACCCGATGCTATCCCTTTCAATTTCCCGTTGCAAACAGCAAGGAATTCGATCAGTCATGCCACTCCGGGGGTCGTCATGATCAGCCTTGTGAAGCCATCAACCACTTCGATGGGCTATCGATGATTTTTTGTCCTTCAAGCTGGCAGGACAGCATGACCTGCTCCGACTGCAAGTGCTGAAGTCTCCCGATGTGGGTCTGGAACCCTTCCTAGCATATTTCTAAGGGTAGCTTCCCCATTCTTTCCAGGGATCCTTCTTTCTAGAAAGCCGCCAAAAACCGTGTGCAAACAGCTGGTTTTTGAAAGAACAATTGTTGAAAATAATGGGGAATCAACCCCTAGAATATTGGAGAACCACATGTCATCATCAAATGTCCTCGGAAAAGGCATAGTCCCCTTCACTTGAGGCCTGACCAGAGCTCATGATTTGACTGTGGCATTAAGGCCCTTGTCATGCAACTTTGACAGTGTGTTTATTGCGTTGCTTGGGATTCGGAGCCAAGAATTTGCTACGCCAAATGCTGCAAAATATGAACTGGCCGTAGTCCACAAGCGGTCCGCCCTGAAACAAAGCATCCAGGAAAGGGCCGTTCATCTGAGTCATCAATGATTCGGTCCGCGCAGAACGGACCTTCATCATGTGCCCTGATCTCGGCTTGCCCCTCGCGGAACTCACTCACCAAATTCAGGCAGTTTCAGTACAGGAAAAAAAGGTCGTTACCCGTCCAATTGTTTAGTTTCGCGTCGTGCCTTGCGAGGGTGAGGGGCAGAAAATCAGAGCTCCTACGCCAGGGACCAAAACCCCAAGCCCGGCTCCCAGCCCGATTTACGACCTGCATCAATGTACTTCAGCACGAAGCACTGCAGCTCGTCGCCCACTTTCTGGCCGTCGCCAGCGTCCGGTTGAGTCATCAGCGAAATCAGATTCTGACCGGGAACCCAAACAAGACTCTTTCAAGGCGGCCGCTGTTTCTGGCTGATACTTCTTCTAGGTTCCAAACAAGCCTTGATCTCAGCTCCTTGATTCGTGGTTTTTCTTGAAACGGATGGTCCCAAGCAACCCCATCCAATGCAACACCCGTTCCAGGTGCAATTTCAATCCACACCATTCAAATGCCAAGGACTGCTCTCATGCCAGGGCTTAACTCCTTTCATTGACAATGGTCTCAACCAACCCCATCCAATCAACCCCCATAGGACACAATTCATTCCAAGGAAGGATCCCCAGCTTTGACCCGTTGCTATCACCCGTTGCCAAATCTAGAGTGAAGAGTCTGAGAGGTACAAAAGTCACGCCACAAACTCCGCGTAACTGCTGGGGATTCCGATTTAAGTGGAGCAATTGCCCTTTCGGAAGCGCATTGCAACGCTCCTCAGCTTGACTTTTGGCTCTTGGATGCTTTTCGACAAGCAGAAGCGACACAGCCCAAAAGCGCAGCAGGTAACCAACAGCTGTGGAGCGTAAGTACAGGCGTTCAAAGTATCACTCCTGAGATTCGCCTTTGTGAAGAAACGATATCCGTAGAACCCGTTCACCATCTAACGATCTCCCCGCGAGCGAGCTCGTGGGTCCAAAATGGTCCAAAGTTCAAGGCTTCTCGCGAACCTTCTATAAGGGGAAAAGCTGGGAAACCGGAGAAACAAAAAGAACACTACACATCCACACACACCCACACACACACGCACCCGGGTCCTTGAAACCCACCAGGCCCCAGGCGGGTCTTTCTCGAGCTCGTGCCCCATCCGCCCGGGGCCAGCCGAGCGAAGGCAACTCCGCGTGCCCCGCTTCGGGTCCTGAAGGCCGCAGATCTGGGCGTGGTCCTTGTTCCGGCCGTCCAGGACCATGCCTGAAAGGCACTTTCAAACCATGGTTGGACCTGAAGGCACCACTTTCAAACCATGGAGTTGGAACCACTGTTTGGCATTTACCAGCAAAAATCGAATCATATGGCTTCTCAGGTGCTGCGAAATGGATTTCGCAACCATCCACAGTAGGCGTCCAATGTTAGGGCAAGATGGGTTTCCCTGGTAGATGAGCAAGAACCAGGAATCGAACCCCCTCGATTTTTCAAAACCAACCAAAAAGGACAATGACGGCCCTTGGCCTCGCAATTTGATTGCTGGGCCCCTTGCATCTCTTCGGGGTGAAGGGTCAAACCACCTGCCGAATCGTGGTCCTGGTCGCCTGGCAATTAGTTGGCAAGCCAGCAACTGGTCATTTTTTGAGCGACCGGCCTGTAGTCTCCTTGATCCGATCGATAGCGTGCCAAACAAAGTTGAGACTCCCCCAAATTGGTCCCACCTTGACAAAAGACGTGGATGCATCATGATCCAAAAAAATGCAAGTCCAGAAAAGCCTGCTCATCTCAGGGCCGACATCGTCGTTTTGCAAGAGGCAAGATCGCAGAATTGCATCCCCACATACCACAGACCACCAGGGGAAGGAAAAGAGTGAATGTTGAGAGGTGATGCCAAGGGAAATCACGAAAAATGTTTTGGAAATGAGCAGCCCCCTGAGTACGGCAACATTATGAAGGCCGAAAGTGGGGGTGTCTGTCACAAAGAGGGCCGCTTTTTGACTCGGTGCGGTCTCAAAATGCGCCGCCTTTGTGGCAGGGGCAGGATTGACTTGTCGGGTCCTTTACTCCGTTTTGTCAATCCATCGGTACTAAGCCAGGTGAGTCATCAAGCCCGCCTTCAGAGCCACCCTCAAAGTCGCCGGACAGAGTCAGAAGCGGATAGCCAGTCCTGGAGGTTCGCATTGAGACGTGCAGAACAATTTCTGAGTTGTGCAGGGTTGTAGGAAATGACCACTTCTGTGATACAATAAAAAGGGCTTCCCAAAGACTGAGACCCAATATACAGGGGGAGATTCCCTTGTATCACAGAAGTGGGAATAAACCCCTTGATTCCACAACCCTGGAGTTGTGGGATGCACTTTTGCGTTTACTAGAATCAAAGATTGTCTGGCCACCATCCCAAAGGAGGTTATTCTGGGGAGAATCCCGGAACCTGGAGGTGCGCCCAATGTGTTTAGGCTCCAGCATGCACAGGAACCAAACTGCCCCGGAGTGATCCAAGACTCGGTGCATGAGCCAGGGATCCTGAAGCAAAGAGAGCGAGCCCTGGATCTTTGAAATTTGGGACCCGTGGATTTTTTCTTGCGGAAGTTCGAGACAACACGGCGCAAGAGAACCACCCCGTGGCTACATTGGAATCCCCTTGCGGCATTGCGGGGCTTGACTTTAGATCCCTGTGGCAAATATAAACGGACCTCACATGAGTCGCAATCAAAACCTGGTATTAAAATGGTCGACCCAGAATCATGTACAGGATTAAGAAGGCGGCCGCAGCTATTTATGGCTGGGATTGGCCCTTACTAACCTTCATCTACCCGGGTTTTGATTGTGGCTCACATAGCGTGTACACATTGGTGTTTTGTCCGGAGCTCTTTACCATGGCCATTGAAAGGCAACGTCTGTTACGTTTGGGCACGACACAGGCGATGTTGCTCTTGTATCCTTCGAAAACGTACAATGAACAAGGGTTGATCGACTCGGGGGATTGGGGCTGCACACCGATTTTGTCAACAGGACCTTCTGCTCAATCTCTGTTCTTGTTCTTGGTGTGCATGTGGGCAGAAGGATGCGTTCGCAGGAAAACCATTGAACAAGGAAACCGCACGCAGCACAGACCCAGGACCCAGGATGAGGAGATGGATAGAAACCTATGTTCGGTCATTCCGTTCTTTTCTCGGTGAGAGGATTTGTCTGATGGTCGGTCCCAAACTTTCAAAAGGTTGGTGAGAGTTCACTTCACGGCACGGCCACCAGTAGTTCGATACAGAGCAAATCACGAGAGGGATCCATTTAGTCAAGGTTGTTTTGACAATTGCGCAGTTGCCATTGAGGGAATTTCCAAGTAACCTTTCACGAGTAGCTAAAAGCCCCTTGTAGCCTCTTGAGGTTGAGTCTGGGAGAGCCAGAGAAGCTTCGCGACATTGGTCCACTGAAGGCACGCTGTACCATCAGTGCCCGTAGCCATCCAGCTTGACGATTCAAGGCTTGCGGCCACTCCCTCTGTCCTGTGTCGAATGGAGAGCCTCTGCCCTTCTGGTTCGCAGAACCTCGGATCGATCCCGGCGCGACCGCGACCGCGACCAATGCTGTGGGTCGCAGTGCCTCCTAATTTTAGGGGCCGACAACGAATCTGGGCCTACGTGTTGACACAAAAAGCGTGTACCGAAATAGCGAAAAGAAGTCCAGTCCTTGGCTTCTGTGGTATATTGCCAGTGCGAAATGGAACTAACAAGGAGATCATTGCAGGTTTCCGGGAGCCAATTGATCCCCGGACCTATCTTGCCACTGCCAGCGCTTCCAGATGCAGAACAGTGGATGCCCTAAATGTTGCAAGTTGCAGGGTGTCCCTTTTATCTTGCAATAACTGGTGGGCATCGTGTAGCAGGCACCCCAGGACTTTGCACATGGTCCCCCATGCTTGCAAAGAAGACAACTGGTGGGCTTGGCACTTGAGACATCTCATTGGCTGTTGCATCCCTGATTCCTAAAGATGAGCAGAACCAGAAAACAACAAGCAAACTCACATGCCAACAGTGATGCCAGCTCGATGCCTCCGGTGGAGTGAAACAGCGGTGGCTGGGTTTGCACACCTCAAAAGACAGTTTGTGTACACATACCTCGGCAATATTAACCAGAGAGTATACAATGTAACAATGTATACAACAAAGAAACAAGTGCTCCCACAAGCTACTGCCTAGCCCCACCAATAAACGCAAATGCGTCTTTGCTCGAGGACACCGCCTTGCCAGAATTCTTCATCACGCCTGGTCCAATCCTACTCGATTGTGGCTTCTGTTTCTCACGGACTCGAGCTGAAACAAGTCATCTCTTTAAACTTACCAGGCTGACAATTGTTCGACAGGTGCAGCTCCCTGATACGCGTGCCTATGTGACTTGTTTCAGGTTCAAAGGCACGCATTCAACAAAAGGCTTGTGGCCCCACGTCCTACAAACCCAGCAGCACAGCAGAACTCAACAGTGCAAAGCAAATTCAATCAGTGTTGCTCCAAAATTAGATGCAAACACTGAAAAAACTGCTAGCAAAACAGTGCTGACTCGAAGACCACTTGAAGCGGAACTACATCTGCCTCTCCCTTTCTTTCTCCCTCGCGACAGGAAACGATTGCCACCATTGGACACTTGCCGGAAATGCCTTGGGCTATGGGAAAGCCATTGCACAAGTTTTGCGGGTGGCTTTAGAGGAGAAGAAGTTGGGAACAAGAACACGAGAGCCACTGAGCCACTGAGCCATAGCGCAGTGCAAAATGGGAGGGCAACTGGTTTTGCAAAACGTGGCGGGTTGACCTGATGGACCAACTCACACCAGCCCTACGTAGCTAGCTCATACTGCCAATGTCCTTCACTCGTGCCCGTCGGTGTCCCTGCTTGCTTCTGGCACAACCAACCGCAGCACCAAACGCGCTAATTTTCCCTTCGCCGTAAGTACTGTACACATCGCGGCACCTCGAAGGGAACTCTGGATAGGGTGCAGCGACCAATGGTCGCCAACGGAGAGTGAGGTGAAGTTGCGTGCCTTCTGACGCCTTCTGAATCTGTTCCAAGTGCCAAAATCCATGTTATCATCCTACAAAACATGCAGTATTTGGAACAGAATCCTTTCATGACATCACACTGCCCTCCTCTGTTGACCTGATTTACACATGGCCAGTGGTTCTTCGCTGCCCACCTGGCTCCCTCTACACGCCGCTTGTCTTACTGCTCATCACTGCTCCCGTCCGTTTCATTCAAGCGGTCTGCCACAGACTGGGAGCACAGGGAGAACATCTCCGACATGCCGCGGCCCTCCTGCGCGAAAACAGAAAAACAACCAAAAAAAACGCCCAACAAGGAGAGAGGCCACAGGAAAGGCCACAGGAAATAGCTGCCACGCAAAAAAAAAAAGGGAAGGAAAGGCCACAGGAAAGAGTGGCAGAGATTTCGTTCAATCCTGCTGCCGCCCTTCTGAATGGAAGCCGGCTGAACGCTTTGGCTGTTGGCGCTTGCCCACAAGGCCAAGCCAGGCCGCTAGGTTCATCTAGGTTCTAAGCCCTGCCACCTGGAAGCCCTGCTGCCAAATTTCAGAGCTCTTCGTTGGTCAAGAATGCGGATAGAGATTCCTAGGGCTCCCACACGCACACAAAATCATACCAGAACGCTTGCCGTTTTCTTTTCCTCACTTAAACAGCAGGCCTTGCAAACCACCTGAGCAAAGCTTATGGGTGATTTCCGCAGACCGAGTCATTGGGAACAGAGAAGCTGAATTCAGCCAGTCCGGGAACCATCGAGCGCCGTCCTGAGTGGGAGGAAGGTTCAGCGCCTTGAACCACTTCTCCCCAGGAATGTCCGGACCCCAACTCATACTCGCCGGGGCGTCCAAGAGCTTGTGGAGCCAACCTCGATCTGATCCGAAGCGCGGATCGAAATTTGAGGTCCGGAAGGGGACTTGTTGTGAGTCAACCCTACCGAGAGCCCAAATCATCCCATGGCTTTCAAAAAAACGCAGCCGTCAGCCACATATTCTTCCAGAAGTCGTGTGTTTCTATTTCTTTGATCTGTGATCTCAGCGCTTCCATGGTATGATCCACCTGTGAAAAACTGAAAAGGTTAACATGTTACACTGTGTCCTATGATCGCCATGAGTGGGATCGCATTCAGCAGGGTTTGCTGGGATGTGATTTCTGCCCAAGTGAACCCCCAGAAGAAGTGCCGTGAACAAAGTTGAACAGACATCCAAATGTAAAGCAACCGCTAAACAAAAGAAAGTGAATGCAAACAAAAACAAGAAACCCAGACACCCCAAAAGCAAAGGAGCAAAGGCACAATTATGAAACAAATCAACAAAGCAACAAAGGACCAAGCGAAAAAGAGCAAGCAAGCAAGCCAGCCAGCCAGCCAACCAACCAGCCAACCAAGCAAGGAAGCCAGCAAGCAATCAACAATCAACCAATCAAATACAATAATAAATCAATAAATCAATCAAACAATAAATCAATCAATAAAGCAATAAATCAATAAATCAATAATTCAGTAAATCAGTAAATCAGTAAATCAATAAATCAATAAATCAATAAATCAATAAATCAATAAATCAATAAATCAATAAATCAATCAATCAATCAATCAATCAATCAATCAATCAATCAATCAATCAATCAATCAATCAATCAATCAAATCAAATCAAATCAAATCAAATCAAATCAATCCAATCCATCCATCCATCCATCCATCAATCAATCAATCAATCAATCAAATCAATAAAGCAATCAAATCAGTCAATCAAGCAAGCAATCAATCAATCAATCAATCAAATCATGTCATGTCATGTCATATCATATCAAATCAATTCAAATATATCGATCAAACCATCAAATCAAATCAAATCAAATCAAATCAACTCAAATCAATCAATCAATCAATCAATCAATCAATCAATCAATCAATCAATCAATCAATCAATCAATCAATCAATCAATCAATCAATTGTCATATCATATCATATCATGTCATATGATATCATACATCATACATCAGATATCATATATCATATTTCATATATAATATCCTATCCTATCATATATCATAACATATCATATATCATATATCAAATACCATATATCATATCATATCATATCATATATAATATATCAAATACCATATATCATATC